GCTCCCGAGAGCGAGCGCAACTCCAGAGCCTTTGTCTGGCTCAGCGCTCCGGTGGCCCGGTCCTTCTGTCCATGCCCGGGGCCGGACGCGGTCTGGAGCGCACGGCTCGAGCCAGGGAAGTCCGCTGGCCCCTGCCCCCTTACCGGGCACGGGGTGGAGGGTCCCCCGCGCAGTCCCCGGAGGAAGCGCAGGGAGGTGGCTGGGGCGCGCGAGCTCCGAGGAGCCGGCGCCCGACGTCCCGGGCGAGTTCGGCGCGGCTCCGGGCGCTCCCAGCCCTCTCACCCGAACAGCGCCCGCGCGCCGCTCTTAAAGGGACAGTGCGCTCGATGCGCCGGGCCGGGGCGCGCGCGGGGGCCGGGGGCGGTCCCGCAGCCTGAGGCTGCACGCTAGCAGGTGCAGGTGGGGAAGTTGCGCTGGCGGCGGGAAAGCTTCCCGGCCCACCCCAGTCACCCTCTATCCCAGCTTCTCCCGCGTAGGGGCCTTGACCTCCAGCGCGACCCTCAGAGGAGGGAGGGCGCGCGAGGAAGGCGTGGCCTCCCAGTGGGGGAGGGATGAAGACACCTCCTTTCCCTACCTCGTGAAGGGACATTGAAGCAGCGGTGGGTGAGTGAAGACTTAATAACAACAACAGCAACAATGGCTAGCAATTGTTTGCTTGAGGTTTTTAAATCATTAGCATCTTTGGTTGTTCCATGACTTTTCTTAGTCTCAAAGCGAAGGGCTTGTGCGCCTCAGGGCGCATAGTGACCAGAGTGCTGGATAGGAGTCTGAGCCCACCCTTCACTTGCAGTGAGCTTATCAGGGACGTGGGGCTAAAGGACTGGGTGAAGGTCGGGCAAGGATTCCAGCTCCCACCCAGCCTGGCGCGCACTATGTGCCCAGACAGAGGCCATCACTTTGGTAACCATTTTGTGCCAGTGAAATGCAACAGTGCCTCGGGCAAAGGCGCAGGGCGCCAGGCAAACCTGTCCAGGGTGCTTATCGTGTTCGATTTAAATCTATTATTAGAACAATTTGAGAGTCTGGCCGGTGTGTCTTCAGGAGGCCAGACCTGGGGGCTCTGGAGATGGGGGCTTGCTTGCATCCAAGGTTCGCTGAGGCCCGTGCAGCTGTCCAAGGGCAGCTGTCCAGGGGGGCAGCCTGGCCTCCAGGCTGATAGCCGCCTGAGGGCAACAACGTCTCTCTTCTCTACTACTTTGAAGCACCGGAAGTGGGAGTTTTCCTTACCTAGGGGCGGTTTTCACTTTTCACAGCCAGTCTCACCTGCTCCAGAAGTCGGGAGAGACCTGGCCTGGCCAGATCTCAAAGTAAGGATTTGTCTAAATCCACCTGCTGTGCTCCAGGAAAGGAGCTCAGAGCAGAGAGGTTACTCGGTGCTTGTCGGAGAACAAAAAGCTCCTGAAATGTTCTATCCAACTTCTCTGTGGGATCCTTCGTTTGGGAAATGCTCTTAAAATTTTACAGAAATTTGCTTTAAGAAATGTTTGTCGGAAATGGAAAATCGGGGTTCCCTCCTTAATGGAAAGCATTTTGATCGTCCACGTGCCAACCGTTGGGTTTGTGGAGCTTCTCATCATAGAGAGGATCCCAGGAAATGTACACAGGAGCCTTGGAAGCCTGCAGTCAGAGTAAGGAAGTGGCATTCCCAGGAGGCAGACCTTGATGCCTCCAGGATGTGCTTTGCTCCCTCCACAAGCCCCTCTGGGTGCTGGGTGGGCTTGGTGGTCGGACTGCATCTGCCATGTTACTTTCTATGGGGCCTGACAGTAAGCCTTTCAACCAGCCCCAACATTACCCACACTTGCCAACGCCTTTCATCTCTGCCCGGACTCTGATCTTTCCCTGCTCTTTTCTTCTTGGAGTCTTTTTAAAGGAAAGCGTAGGCATCGTGTCTATTCACAGCCCAATTTCATTCTGAGACCTTGATGATGAGAGGGGTTGCTGTATAGAAAGTTCTGGATAGAACAAAACCTAAAAGTTACTGGGTCCTTGCTAATGTACTGGCGATTTTTAAACACATTTGTTTACCCCCCTAGATTTGTTTCCTTAAGTGAAAAAGGCAGGCTCTACTCGGGTGGTCGCTGGGGTCGCTTGTCCAGTTAAGGGAAGGTGAGGCAGGCAGGCCCATGTCCTCGAGGCTGCCCCCTGCCTGGCTTCCCGGGCGGTGCACCAGACGCACCATCAAAGGGGGAGGCAGTATGTGCCTGGCTGTGCCAATTCACCACTCCCTTCAGCGCGTTTCAGGTGGCTGAAAATCCCAAGAGAGATGCCTGTCGATCGGAGAGGCGCCGGCTCTGGGTTAACATCTTAACTCCCTATCCAGGAGGCCATCAGAACCAGAACAAACCAACAGGCCGTGGTAATTTCCCTCTCCCTTCTGGGGTGGTCTGGAGAGGCATGTGGTGAGAGCTGGGAGCGCCAGGTGGAAACCGGCCAAGCAGAGATGGCCGTTTCCCTGCCCTGCAGGGAACATCTGAGCACACCGAGGCGCTGTGTTGATGCTCAGCTCTCTCCGGGGTGATAACCCCCATCACGTGCATTCCTTCACCACACGCCAGCTTTGCCTGGGTGGACCCCGCCTGCTCAGGCTCCCTTCCTGTCCCGAGGAGTCTCCCGGCTTCCCCAGAGCACATCTCCTCTTATGGAAGCGCCCTGGCTGCGTCTGCTTTGAGCTGAGCGGGTGCGCACGATCTTTGCTTTGAGCACTCCGGGGCTGGGTGCCTGCCAAGCCCAAGCCGGGCCCAGCCCGCCGCCCCCTCCCCCTCGGCCAATCGCCTATTTCCTTCCTCCATCGCCACCTTCCATTCTCCACCGAAGAGCTCCTTATTGATTTTGGCCGCTTCTCAAGTTGCTGCGCTTTAATCCCACACGCTGGACCGATGGCTTCCCCGCACTGCATCTGCCCCTCATCCCCACAGAAGGGCCAGGTCTGCGCTCCTGGAGTTGGCAATGGCTGCGCTACATCACACCCTGCCCTGGGCCCAGGAAGGCAGCTAAGCACGTGTCTAAGGCTTGGGCTCCCGGAGGAGCTAAATCAGGTGATCCGAGCCCCACAGGACCTGCCTTGACGCTGGACAGGCTTCTATCCTGAGACTGGAGCCTGTGGGAAGGTAGCTTTGTTTGCTCATCCATCCGGCTGGCATCAAAGCTGGTCACGGGGATTATTCATGCTATGCCTGCTCCACTGTGAATGCCCAGGGCTCACTCGGCTGCCAGCTCCCGAGCCTGGCACAGAGCAGGTGCTGGGAAGTGCTGGCTGCTTTGCCAAGGAGAATGGTGGTTTCCTCTCCCTTTTCACTGTGACCCCAAAACCCAGGACGCCAGAGGACCAAAGAGTGACCAGTCAGAGTTCAATCAGCAGATTAGTGTGGGGTGAGGGAACAAGGCACAGTTAGTGGGCACCTGCTGCAGCTGACACAGGGCCGGAGGGGGGCCAGCAAGTAGGTCTAAAGCCACACACTCTTCTCCCTCAGGCCCAGCCGGCAGTCTGGAGGCCAGGCCCCACCTGCAGGCAGTGTGCAGGGCTGCAGCACAACAGGTGAAATTAGGGCCCAGGCAGGCTTCGCATTATCCTCAGGCAGGTCACTTGGCGGGAATGAGCATTCCCACAGTTAACGTTTCGGGGGATGGTCGTTGTTGACGGGTGCCAGTCACTGTCAACTCCCAGCGACCCCGTGTGACAGAGGGGCTCCACGGGGTGTCCCCGTGTGTGTGACACAAGCGCTCCGTAGGGTCTCCTGAGCTGTGACGGTGAGGACAGATGGCCAGCACACTCTCCCCGCTGGGTGGGTTCACACTGGCAACGATGCTGTGAGAAGCTTAGAGCTCAACCACTGCACTACCAGAACTCCTTTTTTCGAGGGGTCAGTGGGTAGGAATCCCATTAGGGCGTTTTGGAAGTGTGAATAAAGCTATAAATATCTGTACTCACACTGAAGCAATGGGGCCAGTGGCTTCCTGGCCACGTGCCAAGCCCTACACTAGCGGTCGAGGCTCAACCTTTCCTGTTACACAGGCCCAGCTGACCAGGTGACACTGGGCTGTTTCTGGAGACAGCTTTAGTGTCTGTCAAGGCGACCCCAGAGGTGGAACAGAGACTTCTGGGCTGCCCTGAACTTCCAGGCACAGCTGGGAAGAGTGGAGGTGAGGCGAAGTTACCTTTTCACCTGGTGGAACAGAAGCGATCCACAACAAAACCCAAAATAAAAACTTAATTTTTAATTTGTTGAACATAAGTTAAAGCTGTAACATATATGTATATATAAATCTCTTCATTCATCACTGGAAGTCCAGGTGGCAAGTGGAAAGGGGTTAGTTCTTTGTTCTAGTTGAGGGGTTGATGAAACTCTGGGTCCCCCGGGCCTTCCTTCTTAGCTCCCTCTCAGAACAGCTGAGGCAGAGGAGGCACACAGAATGGGGAGCCCAGAGGTTACACGGGGGGGGGGGGGGGGGGGGGGGGGGGGGGGGGGGGGGGGGGGGGGGGGGGGGCTTTCAGCCATGAGCAAGGCCAGATGAAACATCTTCCCAGGCACCTGGCTGGGGGATATTGGGAGGAAGGACTGAAGAAAACGGCTGTGAAACCACCAATCAATGCCCTGAACTGGCCTCCTCTGGCACAGGAGGGGGGTAATGGACCCACAGTAGCACCCCATGTCTGGGCCTGGGCATGACTTAAAAGCCCTGGTTTAAAGCCAATGACATCAAAATGAACAGCTGAAGGGAGAGCATGGGGCGGGGAGGAAAGGGCCATTGGTTAGAGGAACTGCCCAGTTCTGGCTAAGATTGTGGGTAGGCTAACCTGGTGACCCCAATTTCTTTTTTTTGGTGTGTGTGTATATGGAACAACCACTTAACAGGAACCAGGAAGCCCAGGCTGCCCTCTACTGGTAGTTTGTGGGAATGACCGTCACCCAGGTCCACCCAGGTCTACCCAGGGGGAGGCTGGGGGTGTCCCCACCCAGGTCAGTCCGCGGTCTTCCTTTCTGCCAGGTCCTCTGAGCTCACTTCAGGGGCAAGGAGAAGAACTTGTTCCCAGACTTGCAGCGGATCTGCTCAGCACACACCCGCAGCAGCTGCTCCGAGTCCTCAAATGCATCCACGATTTCCTTAAACCAAGAGCCAGGGAGGGGCAGTCAGAGACACTGCAAGCAAGATCTGCCCACAGGAATCCTTCAGATTCCTTCAGGCGAGGGCAGCAGGGAGAGCCAGGGCCGAGTGGACGCCAGGCTCTGCACTGTTCTGCCCACCTCTGCCACCTCCCGATGCCTGTCCTACTATCACAGACCTCAGACTTTGGACCTGTTCCCACAGCGCCGGAGCCAGGTCCTCCCAGTACACTGGCTGCCCCAGCATGGAGGGGACCGGCCGTACATGTGCCTTGGCTTTACTTCAAATGTCTTTTTTAAAAATTCCAAATAGGTAGGTAGATAGTACATAAACGCCTGGATTCTGGAGTCCACTTTCCTATGTGGTGACCGCGTCCACAGTTTACAGCACTCTCCTGTCTCTACCAGGTGCCCGCTGCCGCTTCCATGCACTATTCTCTACAGGCAAGCGGGCTGTTCCATCTAGTTGCCAAAGCCTGAGAGGGCTGTGAGGGCGGGCACACGGAACTCTTTCCTCATCCCTGACACGCCGTGGAGGGCACCCAAATCTGTATGCTGGTCGACAGGCCAGGCAGCATCTGCTCAGACCAGGGTTAGTGTAGAGAGTCTCTCCTGGGGCGCTTGTTAACAAAAGTCACTCTGCGTACTCAGACTGGTATGGGTACTGCTAATAAGCTCCAGGTCACAGTGAAGCCTCAGGTCCAGGAACAGACTTAGAGCAGCAAGGTGAGGTGTCAGGGTCTCCTGCAAGGTCATTTCCTGGGGTCTCTACTTTGAATACCCAACGCTCAAGGCCAATCGGCGCCCTTCATCCCTCTCCCTTGATGCTCATCCCATCACTGCTAGCGCCCAGCTTCCCCTGGGCTCACCCCTACACTGGGATTTCACCTGTAATTCCTTCAGGCACTGCCCTTCCAACTTGGGACGTGCGTCGCCCACACACCAGGCCACACTGATGTGGAATGAGGGGTCCTGGAAAGGAACAGCAGGAAGACAGGTGGTCACCCAGATGCCCCCAGAGGCCCTGGGAATAGATAGTGGTCTGTGACAGCATTGAGTCCCCAGCTTGCTCCCCAAGTGACCAGACTGTTATCCCCCAAACACATCCAAGCAGCCTCCACAGACAGACAACGTGGCCCAGGGCCTTTCCTCAGAAGCATTCCTTCAGCTGACACAGAAAGTCATCACATTTGGAGGCAGGGAAGAGCCAGGCACTGATACTGCCTGATGGCAAACAGTCTCACAGATGCCACACTTCTCAAGAGTAAAGGAAAATGCCTAGAACTGTGAAGGAATGATGATTCTCTTCACAAATCTTACTTATATACTCCATCATGGTTTGGTTTTGTTTTAAATACATATATTAGGTTCAAATCCACCTAGATGCTCTGTTGGAGAAGGAGGGACAATCTCCTGTACCAGCCAAATCTGATTTGACAGTACATGCACAAAAAAATAATAAAATTAAAAAAAAAGAAATACATATATTAAACCAAACCAATGGCCCTTTAAAGCCTTGATGTTCTCCTTGGAAGCCCAGAACCCCTTGAGGCCACTGGGCAGAGACAAAGTGTCTGAAGCAACAAGGTATCTGAAGCAATAATTCCTCCTGCAGTGTTAATTAAAAAAAAAAAATTATTGGGGGGAAAATAAATACCAATATATTCTGCAGTAGAGGGAATACAGTGTGTACATATTTCTAAGATCTAATAGGAGACTTCTAAGAAATGCTGGACTTTGGCTGGGCTGCACCACACCTCACGGCCCTCAATCCCCAGATGTGTGTGTCCCCTAAAGATAAGCACGTGGAACAGTTCACATCAGGAAAACTCAAAAGAGCTCTCTAGTGTGGTTCTGAACCACTTACAGACGGGCCAATGGGGAAGAGAATGTCTTACTCATCACCTGGTAGAAAGTGGCCAGGTTGAATTCCTTCATGACTCTGTCCACCTCGGAAACCAGGCTCAGGAACTGCGCATGCCCCGTGGTAACCTCGAGTCCAATGAACGTCCTGGGGGAAGGCAGAGTGCGGGTAAGAGAGACATGGGATGCAGCCGGTGAGAACATAAACCATCAAACTAGGGAAGAGGATACACAGAGGGAACATGTAGAGGGCTGGGCTGTGAGTTCTGACCGCAACTTCCTGGCAAGTGCATTTGATGGGTTTTTGTTTTGTTTTGCTTTTCTTGGTGGTAGTGGTTGTTGTGGGGTACCATCAAGTCAGCTGTGACTCACAGTGACCCTATGACCATCAGATCCTTGACCTGTCCTGTGCCATCTTCATGATCTCTGTGGTGCTCAAGCCCACTGTGGTAACACAGTGTCAATCCATCTCATTGAGGGTCTTCCCTTCTTTTGCTAACCTTCTATCTTTCCCAGCATGATGTCCCTCTCCAAGGCCTAATTCCTCCGGAGAACATGTCCAAAGTATGTGAGATGAAGGGTCACTGTCCCTGCCTCTAAGGAGTGCATTTCTTTTAAAACATATGTGTTTGATGCACACCCATGTTTATTACGCCTTTGTTCCCAATAGCAAAGAGCCGAAAACAACCCAAGTGCCCATCAACAAATGAATGGATAGAGAAGCTGTGGTATATTCACACAATGGAATACTACGTTGCATTGAAAAACAAGGAACTCATGCAATATTATGCAAAATGGATGACCTTGGAGGACATTATGCTGAGTGAAGTATCTCAGTCACAAAAGGACAAATACTGCATGGTGCCACTGTTGTAAAACAGGACTGACGTTGGGGTTGAGGGAAGGAGGCGAGGAATGATGTATACTGCATTGAAACAGATGAGGGAGAGAACTGTTTAAAGGGATATATGATTTGGTATTACTGTCATGACAGGAGTCCAGAATGAAGGATGCACAGTGGAGTGGACTTGGGGGGGAAGGACTGTGTAACAATTAAAAAGAGTTTTTCTTTTCAAGGAAAAGAGTGAATTGGGGAGAGGGGGTGGGCAGGGAGAAAAGTGCAACATTGAATGACTGGAAACCCTAAGTTTCTGTAAACTTTCATTAAAATTAATTTTAAAAAAAAACCCACACAAAAAAAACATATACATTTGCTCTTTCGGCAGTCCATGGGATATCCGGACCTCTTCCCCAGCACCGTTTAAAGGCACTCATTCTTCTGCCATCCTTATTTACTGTGCACGTTCCAGATGCACAGGAAGCAACTGACAATACCATGGCTTGGATCAGGTACACCTTTTTTTCTTAATAATTTCCTCGCATCCTCACCAACATTTGTTACTTTATTTTTAAAAATTCCCTTATTTTGTTATTGAGAACATACACAGCAAAAATACACCAACTTAAAAAAAAATACACCAACTCGACGGTTTCTGCATGTACAGCTGGTGACGGCCATGACATCCCTCACTCCTGTTCTCACCCTCCTGTTTCATTAACATGAATTCAACGTGCTCTTTTAAAAACCTCTTAGAACTCCAACTTACTGCCGTCGAGTTGGAACCGACGCACAGCTCACCCTCCAGCGGGTTTTCCCAGGCTGTGCAGATGCCCATGTTCCTCCCACGGAGCCACTGGTGGATTCGAACCGCGGGAGAGGGGCCATCTGGAGATTAGCAGTGCAGCTCTCTACCCACCAGGCCACCAGGACTCCTTTACTTCCCTCTCAGATTCCTATCACTTTCAAGTTGTTGCTGTCAATTTGAGCCCATGTAGATAATTCTTAAAGTAGCACAGCAGCTCAGTGAGAGATCTATCAAGGGAGGCATCCGACAGCGTAGACCTGGAGGGCCAGGGAGCGGGGGAGATGCGCCATGTGCCACAACCGGGGCTGACCTGGGGCAGGAATCAGGGGTTTTCCCACGGTTCCAGGACGGCTGTCTCAATTTCCCGTACCTCAGACACCCTCCTAGTTACTATTCTGCTGTTGCCCTGATGCTGGATCATAGCAAACTCCCAGAAGGAGAACATTAAGGTCTCCGAGGCTCTAGTTTCTCCGAACGAGCCCGGGAAGCACTGTGGTAAGCGCTAGTCTGCTACGGCACCAGTCACTCTGCAGAAGGATGGGGCAACAAGTCCCGCCTGTGTCATGACGCAGCCAATTCTACCTGGTCCTGTATAGGGTCGCTGCGGGGGAAAACTGACCCCAAACATTTGGTATTCTGGGTTTTAATCTTCACAGGTGCACATCGCCGGCTCCACCCCTGAGCCACTGGAGGTCTGAATCTTTGACCTGACTGCAGGTGACTGCTTACCCATTTTGCCCCCCGGGTTCGTTCATGTGGGCATAGCTTTGGTTAGGAGATAAACAGACAGGATGCCGAGGCAGGCAAAGTCAGGAAAGAAGAGCCTCTCAATCTTGGCCCAGAAGTACCTTTTGGTGGAAGGGGCAGGGGACGGGACTCACCTGGTTTTCTCTTGATTCGTATAGATCTTTACCTGGTTGGCAGCGAAGAGGAACCTGAAATTGAGATGAAGGGAAAAGATCAGCTCAAGAGGATGAATACGTCATATGAGCTGGGCCTGATGTGATAGAGCCTGACAGTAACAGTTAATGCCCTTGGTACCCGCACTCAGGAAAGCAGGAGACGCGCCGCACTGGGAAGTCTTCAGGTAGGGACCTCTCCAAATTATTGAGGGGGAATAATGGCAGTTTGAGGACCAAGGTGCATCCAGTTCAGGCCATGGTCTTTCTGATCACTTGCTCTGCATCTGAGAGTTAGACACTGAAGAGGGACGACAGAAGAAGAATTGATGCCTTTGAGCTGTGGTGTTGGAGAAGAGTACTGAATATCCATGGATGGCCAAGAGAACAGACAGATAGGTCTTGGAGAGGGTGCAGCCAGATGCTTGTTGGAGACAAAGATGATGAGGCTTTGCCTCCCATTCTTCAGGCATGCTGTGAGGAGGGGTTATTCCTTGGAGGGGCAAGTGATGTTTGGAAAGGTAGAGGAACAGCAAAGGAGAGGAAGATCCTTGACCAGGTGGACTGACACAATGACTGCTGCAGTGCGCTCTTGTGTTAGGAAGTGTGAGGGGCAAAGGACAGGACAGGGTCTGTAACAACAACAATGAAAAGAAAAAAAAATCAGACATAATAGTTAATGTAAACAAAAAGCATTTTCAAAATAGTTAATTTTCTTTCACTCCACACTTACTTGCTTTCCTATCACAGAGGTGGTGAACAGAGGCAAAGGAAATCCTAAAATCATCCAGTCCAAACACTGAGTGCAGCACCGTCCAGATACTGGGGACATTTCTACTTTGTTAACAGTAGTTCATTTGACCAAACATTTTGAGACCATCTCAGCTTTACTGAAGGGAAATGAAGTCTTATTCCTCAAGCAGGTGGTAGGAGATCATTGAAGGGTCTTTTTGTTCCTGGGAAGACAGCTGTAGTATAAAGCGCTCACTTATTGGTGTGGAGTCAGCACGGACACAGCTGACCCTCCTGTGGGCTTTTAAAGGCTGTAAATCTCCCGGGAAGACACTGCTCTCCTTCCCATGCAGTTGTTGGTGGATTTAAACCACCACAGAGGTAGCTCCTTTGGGTTCACAGCCCAGCTCTCTACTGCCTAGGTCGCCAGAGCTCCCGAACTGCAATCTAAGCTGTAACAGGAACTTCTCCCGTGGTCCAGGGGCTGAGCTAGCTCTTCTGTGCCTATCCGTCCCTAGAATCCTCATATAATTCCATGCGGATGATGCAATATTTAGAATGTGTCCATTTTACAGCTAAGGAAACAGAAACTTTGACAGCATGCCAGGGTCTTCCTCTCCTGCGCTGATACTGCACTCTTCCAGGCATCAGGTCCTTCTCCAAGGACTTGTCCCTCCTGATAACATGCCCAAAGTCTGTGAGACAGAGCTTCGCAATCCTTGCGTCCAAGGAGCAGCCTGGTTTCACCCTCTCCAGGACGGATACACTTGTTCTCTTGGAGAATGTTCAGTATTCTTCTCCAGCACCACAACTTAAAGCTCCACAACTCTGGCTAAATCCTCTGATTTGTTGTTGTTGTTGTTAAGTGCCGTCGAGTCATAGGCGACTCATAGCGACCCTATGAACAAAAGTCCTCGGCTCTTTCGTGCATGAGTTTCATCCTTTCTCCAGGTTTATAGGGTTTCTGGAGAAAAGCTATTATGGAAGTGGATGCCTCTCCTGCTTCCAAGCTTGTTTCAACTGGGGAGCTCCACCAAACACTGTCCACCATGGGTAACCATTATCACATCTGACACATCAGTGTCACAGTGTTCAGCTTCACAGCAACCACAGGTTATCTCTGTATGGCAAGTGGACACACCAGGGCTATACGACCTAGAAGACTGTTGGAACAAAAAAAAAAAACAATGAAAAACAGGTCTTAGGGCCGCAGATTAAAGTCACCCACCTTTGGTTTGGTAGCGTCGCTTTCGGTCCACTAGGCCAACTGGTCTCTCTCTGTGTTGTTAAGTGCCGTGGAGTCATAGGCCACTCATGGTGACCCTATGAAGGCAAGTCCTCTTCCGCATGGGTGACTTTCATCCTTTCTCCAGGTTGCTAAATCCTCTGATTAGCATTTGTTTTATTTGTTTGTTCTGATTCAAGTAGTCTGTGGTCATGCAAAATAACTATGTGTGAATGACTCCAGGCGGGAATGTCAAAAACAGGCCCCAACTGATATGAGCAAAAGTTGGTAAGGGAGTAAGTAGCCCATGCGGAGAAAGATGCCACTGATCTCGCTCCAGGTAAGTGAGGTGCGTTTGTCTTCTGAAAACTGTTTTTTCTTGGCCATGTGTGAACTGTATCTTAAGCTTTCTGTTTACTGGGACCTGTGTGTAAACTATCCCTCTGGGGGAAAGAGCACTTGTAACTCTGAATTCAGGACTTGCCCAGTGAAACATGTCTCCCATATTTGGTACTGCCAGTACCACAGGTGTGGACTGTGGATCCAAGCAAGATGAAATCACTGACAATGTCAATCTTTCCTCCAGCATGATGTTGCCAATCAGCCCAGTGATAAGCATTTGAGCCTTCTTGATACTGAGATACAAGGCATACTGAAGGGTACAGTCGGATTTCCTGCAGCAAGCCCTTCAAGTCCTCCTCACTTTCAGCAAGTAAGATTGGGTCACCGCCCAGGCTATTGTGAGTCCGATGCCACATTCTTCTTCCCAGTCCAGACTCTTAAATGATATGCTCAGCGTACGTGGAGAAAGGATACAACTCTGATGAACATCTTTCCAACAACAGTTCCTTGCTAGGTCTGGACAATAGCTTCTAGGTCTAGATAGAGACTCAAGGTGGAATCTCAAGCATATCTGTAAAGAAATGATTGGCCTTCTCTGTTGAAGTACAAGTCACCTGCATCGTATTCATGTTTGCATTGTCTGGCACAGCTTTTTGCCAGATCTAAATCTCCAGGCTGGTGGTCTCCAGACTTAAACCAGCGTCCTGCCATACTTGTGGACTTTGGATTCATTGATATCTGAAGCTAGCCACCCTACCTCCCAACAACAACCTTGGACATGCCAGTGTCTGAAGACAGCAGCCAGAATTTTCCAGAGCAACCAGTCTGTGACCTTGCTTTCCAAAAGTGGCCTCTGCATATGTCAGCCTGGGAAGCCAGCAACCCGAGACCCTTCCTGCCTGCCTGCTGACAGCAGGGCCCCTGGCGCCCCAGATGTCTCTCTTTAAGTGTGCTCTACAACCCTGGGACTTCCCTCTGTAAGCAGTGAGTGATCCATTTCCTTGAAACAAATACCTCTCTCTATAATAAACTTCATTGGTTTTGCTTAAGCCAAAGACAACCTTCAGAGCTGGAACACAAAGGAGAGGCCTAATGGCCAGACTTTGGGCTTGGCCTGATGGCTGGGTAACATGCCTGGCACCTCCATCCCACAGGAGCCAAGGAAGGAAGAACCCGGGAGGGGAGGGAGATGTGAGGCCAGGGAAACACTCACCTTTGGAAGGGGGCCATGCGCTCTTTCAGGGTCTGCATGAAAGGGATGATCCAGTGATGGTGCAGGACCACGCTCTGGGACAGACTGAGGTGAAATTCCTCCATCCTCACCAGCCGGGGGACATACTTCAGGGCGTGGGGCACAATCGCATCGAGCAGGTCTTGGAACTCCTCACTGGCTTCGTCTGGACAAGAGTGGAGAGGGTCAGCCACGCTCACAGCCCAGGAAGCAGAGCGCTGCTGCTTACTTGGTTAAGTTTTGGGGGAAAAAAATAACTTCTCTAGCAGCCTATAGCTATAAGCTTTCTACTAATATTTTAACATATTGCTCATTGTAAAGAATTCAAGTAAATTCTATCACCAAGAGCAGACAGAACTATGTTGTGCAGTCCGAGTAAAACACGTTTGAATACAAATCTCCAACATGGTGTATTTATTTAAAAGCTGCAAATGCACGGTCCTCTCTAATCTTATGTGTTAGAAAATGGTAAAGGTTTCATAAAAAAGAAAATAAAAACAAGTACGTGAAAAAGTTCTGTTCGTTTTCTTCCTACACCATTAATGAATCACCATGACCCTCCTCAGGGCATAAACACCCCACTTTTCAGGACTGTTGTCCTAGAGCACACCCCCAATTGCTGGGGAACTAGGTTTCTTCATATTATACTACATATTGGACAACCTTCCACGTTAGAGCTCAGACTCTTTTCTCTGAAGCTCCAAGCTGTCAAGTCGATTTTGACTCATGGTGATTCCACGTGACAATGCAGAGCCGGCTCACAGGCTGTGATCTTTTTAGGAAAGGTGTCTTGGCGGTGCACGGCTGCTGATGGGAAGGTCAGGAGTTTGAATCCACTAACCTCTCCAGAGGAGGATACTGTAACCATCTGCGTCCACAAAGATTACAGCCTAGGAAACCTGGCGCAGCCCAACGTCCCGCAGTGTTGCTACGAGTGACAATCAACTTGACAAATCAACTACCAACCTTTCAGTCAGCAGCAGAGCACTTAAGCACTGCACCACCTGGGCTCAGACAGCTCCACGGAAAGGCACTAAGATTTGCCCCATCTTATCAGAATCCCATTTTTTAAAAAAAATTAATTTTAAAGAAAGTTTATAGAGCCTTTGGATTTCCATTCATTCACTGTTGCACTTTTCTCCCTGCACCCCCCCTTCCCCCAATTCGCTCTTCTCTTTGAAAAGTAAAAGAAAAATTCTTTCATTGTTATACAATCCCTCCCTCCAAGTCCACTCCACTATGCAGCCTTCATTCTGGACTCCTGTCATGACAATAATACCCAATTACATATCCCTTTTAAACAGTTCTCTCCCTCATCTGTTTCAATGCAGTCTACATTATTTATCCCCTGTCTGAATTTTATTTATATTAGTTTAGAATGCCCCCAAAGACAAAGAACATTACAATGACCACTCTTGAATAGTATTTCTTTAAAAAATTATTTGTTTTCACCAAACATGGCTTTTCATGCCCCAAAATCTTACTTCAAATTTGCCCACCTACCCTGTGGAGTTGGCCCTACAGACAGACATCCTCATTCCACTGACATGGAAATGGAAGGTTCCACGCTTACCTGCCGGGCTGGGCTAAGGATTTAACAGAGGATTTATAGTCACAAAATATGAGGAGATCTATTGCCAAGCTGTACCCAATTGTATTACAAACGCGTTTCCAACAGGGTCTTGAAGAGTTTTTAGGTAAGTGTGAATAGGATCATATAGTTCATTTAGCCTTTACTGCAAGAAAAGGTGCAGAGCTTTTTCAATGATCAATCTATGCACATAACAAGTGAAGGTGATTATGATGAATTTGGTGGAAATAGGTGTTGGTTCAAGTGTTTCCGAGGGAGGATCCATTTATAAACCATTAAAAGGCAAGCAATTGTTGTCCATCTGATAGACATTTGTAAGCTGGGCAACTCCTGTTCTATTATTCCCATATCAGAGATGAGGGTACTCAGACTCCGAGAAACCCCTGTCTTCGGCAGAGGACTACGGTCTGCCTCCAGATCTGGGCATTTTCTGTCTGTCACTCACTCCTCAGGGCTGGAGTGGGACTCAGACCCATCACATGTAAGTCAGGTTCTCTTGGAAGTAAAATGTCAGCTGTAGCCTGGTACAGGCCTTGATACACTGTCCCAGGGAGAATACCATACTCAGTGTTAATAAAAATATTTCAAAATGACAATGAATGCAATACTAAAGCCAAATGTGTATATATATATATTTAAAAAAATTTCCTTCATTAAAATGAATAAAAAAATGATTAAAAGAATATTCCTTGATTCTTGCCCTATTCCTGCTAAGAAGACCTTCTTCCTCCCCCACATATGGCAAAGGGTTCTGGCTTCTCACTCGTGGTTGGGACCAAGCTCCTCTTGTCAAGAGGTACCCACTGCACTACGCCACCTGCCTTTCCCCCGTTACTCACAGGGCAGGTACACGTGAGTGGCCCAGTTGCCCCGCTCATGCGGGAAGGTCCGTACCCGGCCCCCGTGTTTAGCACTATCATCCTCAGGCCCCTCGTTGGTGCTTGGGAACATGTTCAGCACGCTGTCAGGTACTGGCAACCTTTGGCTGGAAAGGGGAGTCCGGTCCCTACAATTAAAAAAAAAAAGAAAGGAAAACAAGAACATTAATTCCTCTCTACCTCTGTACATACAGAAGTTGTAACCCTTTATACATGCAGACTCTGAGCATTTATTCCAACCAGCTACCTGGAGGAGTGAGCTCTGGTGGCCTAGTGGGCAAGGAGTTGTGCTGCCAGCCCAGTGGCAGGGAGTTTGAATCCAACACCTGCTCCCTGGGAGAAAGATGGGCAATCGCCTCCCATGCTATTTATATTTATAGCCTCTGGAAATCTACGGGAGGGTGAGCTGCAATTTAGTTCCAAATGGATGGCACCTCACATAACAATAACTTGTTGAAGCCACTCTAGTGGTGCAGTGGTTAAGAGGTTGGCAGCTAGCTCAAAGGCTGGTGCTGTAAAGATTTCCAGCTTTGGAAGCCCTCAGAACAGTTCTGCCCGGTCCAACGGGGACGCTATGTGTCAGCATTGATTCCACAACAGCAACGAGTTTGGTTTTTACTTGAAGTAGCTTGTGGTTAGCCACTGTCAAATCTATTTCTACTCATTGTTACTGCTATTCCCTGTTGTTCAGTTGACTAGAACTCACAGCAAATCTATGAACAAGAGACCTACCACATGCCCTATCCAGGACTATCCCTCTGGTCTCCACCAAACTCAAGTCCATTGTCACAGTTGCTGTGTCAATTCATCTCATTCACAGTTTTCCTTCTCTTTTCCTGACCCTCTACTACTTCAAGTTTGATGTCTTTTTCCCAAGGACTGGCACCTTCTGACAACGTGTCCAAACTATATGAGACAAAGTCTCCTCCTCCTACTTCCTCGAAGACAGAGTTGGGTGTTCTCTTGACAGTTCCACTGCTGTTACTAAATGACACTGGGTCGGAACTGACTCACAACTGATCTGCCAGCAGGTTTTCCGAGGCAGTAAACTGAAATGGAGCTCTGGTGGCTCCAGGGGTAAGAAATTGTGCTGCAATACCAAAGGCACATGGTTCAAATCCACCAGCTGCTCCGCAGGAGAAGGATGGGCAATCTCCTCCTGTTGGAAAACCTGCCGTTCAGAAAACCTGCTGGAGGGTCAGCTATGGGTTTGTTCTGACTAGACGGTACACAACAATAACAACAACAACAAATCAAAATGGAGGAGACTGGCCATTCTCCTGTGGAGCAGCTGGTGGATTCAAACTGCATACCCCTGGGATTGGAGCCAACAGTCCAATTCAAATGCAGTTTGTACTCAAAGTGATCCCATGTGACAGAAAACTGCTCCTAGAGTTTTCTAGGCTGTAATTTTTATAAGAGCTAAACCTTTTTCCAGCAAATAGGTTCAAACATTCAATTTTTTGGTCAGCATCCAAGCACTTCAATTATTGTTAACACCAGGGCTCATAAAGTTGCTTCTGGATAACCAGAGTTCTTTCCCCACTATGGTTTAAGGTTGGGGGATGTTCCCAGAAATCTGGGAGGCAGATCTCAGAGGATGCACAAGCAGTCCCAACAGGGAATAACTGGGCTGACGGAGGGTGTGGTTCAGAGGTGGTGTTCCCTAGGGGTGGGCGGAGCACCACCATGTAGGTGGGGTCTAGGGCAAATCATGCCTTCTTTCTGGCCCTGTTTCCTCTTCTGTAAAGAAGTATACTTTTACCTGATGGGGTGATTGTCATAGCAACTGAGACACTGCTTGAAAAACTACTCAGCAAAGCTGAAGAGAGATAGTCCTTGAGACTCTAGGCATCCAAAGGAAGAGATCTGTATAATTTTGTTGACTGATGGGTCCCCAGTTCAGTCCCCGCCTGGTGCAGCATGTTGTTGTGGTTAAGTGCCTTAACTCACAGCTGACCCTCCTGCGGGTTTCCAGAGGCAGTAAATCTTAAAGGAGGAGACTGTCCATCTTTCTCCTGCAGAGCACAGGGTGGATTCCAACCCCACGCCTTTGGGTTGGCAGGACAACTCCGTAAGATTAAGCTTCCTGATGCAACATAAGAAAAATGAATAACTCCACAAACTAGCTGTTATGACTGCAGCTGTATTCAAATGAAGACACAGATTTAGGATGGTGAAATGGGACATGCTTACTGCTTCCCAACACTGATCTGGCCACCTGTAGGCACTCTGGGAGCTTACTGAGAAGTGTCCTCCTCTAAATTCTTCCTCCTCCCACGTGTCCTTTCCTGGCTAGTCACCGGGTACCCCGTTCCTTCCCCGCCCCTCAAGGAACTGCAACGCCAAGTTAGATCTCGAGCTAATCAGAACGTTAAGAGAGAGACTACCTCTGTCCTTACCGGTGGCGGCATCCCGAATCCCATGGGCCCCGGGCTCCGGCCTCCTCGTCCTCAGAGTCGCTGCTGCTGTAGCCCACAAGGGGCGCCGCATTCATGGGGCTCCGCAGAGACACCAGGCCCCGAACCCCTGTAACCTCACTGCTCGCCCCAACTTGCGCCGCACCGGAAGTGCCCTCGCTAAGGCGTGGTCTGGTTAGTGCCTCCCCGGGGCGGGCTCTGGGGGCGTGGCCAGCGCGGGGGGCGTGGCCGTGGGTGGGTCGAAGCCGAGTGGGCGGGACCCCACAAGACTCCAGTAAAAACGTAGTGTGATCGGGAACATGCCGCGGGCCTGCTGGCTGCCCGTAGAGTGGGTCCCCGCAACCTCCGTAGAGTGGGTCCCCGCAACCTCCCGGAATTCCCCAACCCTCGTTTGCCAATTGTGCAGATCTCTTTGATCCCTGACCTCTGTCCACTGCCCTGCCCAGACCTGCTGCTACCCTGGTCCAAACTTCTCTGCCGCGCACGGTCCCTGCATTAGCGCATTAAACCCGGCAGAGATCCGGGAGTCGTCTCATGCCATGTACTAGCCCGAGCTCCGCTGTTCCTTCGAAGCCCTAGGGATTTAAGTGGAGCGGTGCGAAGCAGGTCAATTTCAGGACACTGACGCTTCTAGAAGGCCCCTCCTCTCAAATGCAAGAGTCGGGTCCGGGGCCAGAGCGGAGGACCCGCTCCGCTAGGACTGAGCGGCTCCATCGGAAGCGCTGAGTGTATCCCTCCCGCTGCTGCGCGCCCTCGGCGCCTCCGCCCGGCCCCGCCCCAGGGTCCCCGGCA